AGTATACATATTAACGGACGTGACGCCACATTGCTAAACAAGTGCCGCTGCTGCGGAGGGGATACCCGTCTTTGTCGCACTCATTACGTTAAACGGCGGAAATTGATTTTAAAACGTATTGTAAATGATAAAATTTAATAATTTTGTTTTGTTCGGTTTAGAAAAGAGCAATTAGTTTTTTATTTAATAGGAAAAAGATAAAATAACGTTTAAATAGTTCAAGGGAAAATTAAACCAATGCTTTTAGTTGCTAAGAAAAAAAAAAGTGAGGTTCTGTTTGCATGGCATACCTAATTATTAGAAAAACTTGTATTCCTTTCAGGTAAGCTTCTAAAAACTATTAGATATCGAAAATACATTCTAAAGGGCCGGTTTCTCAATAGCGAGTCACCTCTGGGTTGGTTTTAACTCCAGGTTAAACGTTTCCAGTTGCAATATTTACCCTGGAGTAAATGCTTAACCCGGGGGTGACTTATGCTATTGAGAAACCGGGCCAAAAACACAGTATTGATTTCTTAATTTTATTTTTCATTTCAAGAAACATTAGCAAGATTTTTTTTAACAATGGGATAAAGCTAACATTTTTACATTTGCAAGAGGTGAGGGTTTTCGGGACTTAAAAAATAGTCGGTTTTGATTGAAAATATTTTTATTACAATTCAGTACAAATTACAATAATCTACTTTTTAATTAATCTAATTTTAATGTAGGTATACAAATTAGCTATTGAACTTGTCCAAGACAACCAATGGTTGTCTCTGCGAAGTTGCTCTAAAGACTAAAAGTAATGGACAGTAATAGAGACAAATACTACCAAAAAAACAATTAAGGTACCTGTCGCAAATTAGGCCATGTTCAGATGTTTTATTCTTTTCCTCACATTATCCTCTAAGTTATCCACCAGACCACCAACCCCGACAAAAATCAGGAGCTTATATGTGAAGTGTTTTGTTTCTATTACTTGAATATTAACACCAGTTTATTAATTACTATGCTCCTTATACGGCTACCAGGCACAGCATCCTTTTCCAATAATTTTTTATGTAATGATGATTCCAAATAATCGCTCTCCCTAAAATGGTCACTGCATAGTACTGTATGAGCTGACGGCTTGAAATTTTCCCAACGAACAGCTTTTATCCATAATCTCAAAACTTCAGGCCTTGACAAAGGAAACCTTAAACAATGAACAACAAAATAATTTTGACTATCTTTACCTTTTGGTGTAGGCAAATAATAATATGTGAGCAGAAATGCTTGTATTATTGATTTGATTCTAACCTACATATGAATGAAAGGGAAAAATACTTACTTATGAAACCGTAGCTTAGTCCCCGGTGTCCTTTCATTTGTACATCTATAGGCACAAGAATAGACAACCATTGTCTATAGTTTTTATGCACATTATCTCCCAATTTCACAACAAAATCTCCAAAAAATAGCTCAAATATAATGAATTTCTTGGGAACGTCATATGTTAGCGAGCAACAGAAAAGAACAACATTCCCCTTTGCGACATCCGTCTTTGTCTAACAAGGTGGCTTCACATTTTGACGTATATGGCAATCGTGTGCGCATTCCAGTCTTGGTTATAGTTCATTGTGTTTACCGAACGCCATGCAATGTTGTCGGATTGTTATGCTCCCAACCAATCAGAGTGCGTGTATTCGTGCTTGACAGTTGACAAAATGATAGTTGTCAGGCTATTTTTTGATTTTGGTTGACAGTTAAATGAAAGTTTGTGTTGTTTTCGCTTAGTTTTCAATTTTCTTCTGCTTTTTGACGGGTTCCGCCAGTGATGCAAATACATTAAGGGTCACGGCTATAGCCAAAGCTAAGAGAAGAGCGTGCTACTCTTGACTATAGGTATACCGACACCGACGCATCTGCTGCTACACAAGATGGATTGTTTTAGTAGATCAAAAACGTTCGGAGGTACGATACAATACTCCCCCAGTCGGATCTCCGAGGGTTTCTGCTCATCGGCTCAAAAAAAATCTTAAAACTTTGCAGCATGGAATATTCGGACTCCGACTCTGCAAGATAATGACACTACAATTCACGCGGAGAGAAGAACGGCCATGAACTAAATCATCCCAATATTGACATTGTTGCGATGAGGGAGACAAAATTCCTGGATGAAAACACTGAAAACAGTACTAAGACTCGAGAATTTTCACTGGAAGAGAAATCCCTTAGGAGCCTCATGATAATCCTGTTATTACTCGTCTTATCTGTTTCCTTTTGTGCCTGAAAATATGAAATTTATATTGAAAAAACTGATTAAACATCCAAACACGCGTTACCGTAACGTCAAAAACCTTCACCGAAATTCAAATCGAAACCCACAGTGCTATCGGTCAGCGAATCGAGGCTTCGATTGAGTTACCGATCGGTTTGATGCTACGGAATAGCTTCCGCGCTATCAATCCGAAAATGACGTCACAATCGAAACAATTCTACCGAATCGAACGGTTCGTTCTTTACAGAATAGGCTTCCTGGGGGCCTTATTCTGTATTTATTTTTTGTAGACCGAATCTCTCGGTTCGGTACACTATCGAACGGAGCAGTAATCGAACATTCGGTTCGATAGCGTACTTTGCAATTCAGTATGGCTTTTCGGGAACCAGTCCATTCGGTTTGATAGGAATCGAAGGGCAACCGGAAAAATTTCCGAACGCCATGCAATGTTGTCGGATTGTTATGCTCCCAACCAATCAGAGTACGTGTATTCGTAATTGACAGTTGACAAAATGATAGTTGTCAGGGTTTTTTATTTTGGTTGACAGTTAAATGAAAGTTTGTGTTGTTTACGTTTAGTTTTCAATTTTGTTCTGCTTTTTGACGAGTTCCGCCAGTAATGAAAATACACCAAGGGTCATGGCTATAGCCAAAGCTGAGAGAAGAGCGTGCTATTCTTGACTATACAGACGCTTCTGCTGCTATACAAGATGGATTGTTTTAGTAGTTCGGAGGTACTGTACAATACTCCCCCAGTAGGATCTCCGAAAGTTCTACTCATCGGCTCAAAAAAATAATCGTTAAACTTTGCAGCATGGAACATTCGGACTCCGACTCTGCAAAATACTGACACTTCAGTTTACGTGGAGAGAAGAATGACCACAATTAGCCATGAACTAAATCATCCCAATATTGACATTGCTGCGATGAGGGAGACAAAATTCCTGGATGAATACACTGAAAACAGTCCTAAGACTCGAGGATTTTCACTGGAAGAGGAATCCCTGAGGAGCGTCATGTCAATCCTCTTATTACTCGTCTTATCTGTTCCCTTTTGTGCCTGAAAATATAAAATGTATATTGAAAAAACTGATTAAACATCCAATAACACGCGTCACCATAACGTCAAAATCCTTCACCGAAATTCAAATCGAAACCCACAGTGCTCTCGGTCAGCGAATCGAGGCTTCGATTGGGTTACCGATCGGTTTGATGCTATGGAATAGCTCCCGCGCTACCATACCGAAAATGACGTCACAATCGAAGAAATCCTACCGAATCGAACGGTTCGTTCTTTACAGAATAGGCTTCCGAGTCGTATTATATATCGAATATGACACAGGTATCAAATTTACTGATACTGACTTACTGATAGTTGAAAATATGTCATTTTCCAACTTGTAAAGTGCGGTTCCTCGTTGGGCGCTATTTAATGACAGAGCCATTCTGTTTAAAACAAAGGCGAGTTACCCCGGAGTGAGATGCTCCGGTGCTTAAAAAGCGCCAGTCAAAACTGCGTCTGAACGTACGAAATAGCGCCAGCTAAAACAGTGACCAATTAAAATAGACCTTTCCAAAACAACTAAATAACCATAAAAGAGAGAGATAGAGAGCGCACCGGCACCTTATGGCGTTTCCGATTGGTAGATTCAGTGCGTACTGAGTGTATTTGCATCTTTTTAAGCGACCTGTAGAAGAAAAAGACAGAAATAGAAAAAATTGCACTAGTTCCGCACTAGATCTACCAATCGGAAACGCCATTTAGATTTCCTCCATACTATAAACCAATGTTGGCTCCAGTGGCGTCCGTGTGGCGTCCCTGTGTTTTTTGTACATTTTGGAACAAGTTTGGGTGGTAATTTCAAAATAAAATCAGAATACGGAAAGAGCATTAAGAAAACTATCTGAAGCACTGAAAAGCACTAACGATGCGCAAAAAAACGACTCTAGATTTAACTCAATCCCATATAATTTGAGGGCTGACCTTGAAAATTTAAAGTTTAATATCTCAAAAAGGAAATATTCTCGAATGCAACTGTTTGAAGCACTGAGAAGCACTAACGAAGCACTAAAAACTGACACCAAAATTGGGTAATTCGGAAAATTTTTGGGGGCTGACCTTGAAGTGAAAATCTAAAATATCTAAGAAATATGAAAAGCACTTTCGAAACTATTTGAAGCACTAAGAAGCACTAACGAAGCACTAAAACATAGTATTGAATTTCGTTCATTTTGACAGATTGTCAGGGCTGACCTTGAAACTACAAAAAAATCGATATACAGAAAACGAAAAAAGCACTAACGAAAACAATTGAAGCACTAAGAAGCACTAACGAAGCACTAACAAACAACATATTTTTCCAAAAAAAATTTAACACTTTAGGGGCCAACTTCACGGACCTCTATTTTCATCATGAAGGTTTGTGCAAATAAAATAAATAACGCCTTTTGCTTAGCCCATATACGTTCTGCCTATATGCCTCCGGGTCTCGGGTCCGACCTTATGGCACCTGCTACACCAGCGCCACGCCATGTCAAATAATCGCTGGCGATGGCGGCGGACAGAAAGAGTGATGAACGGAAAAGTGTCCTCGACGCTCGACGTTCTATTACGATGAATGACTGACTGTGCAGAGTGCAAGTTTTAACTGCTACCTGCTACTGCAGCGTAAGGCTTAATTCTCACTTGCGCTCTTTTTTGACATTGCTTCGACACTTTAACGTTTGATACATGCATAAAACGTCAAATTGTGTCAAAAAAAGAGCTAATTTCATACAAAAATAGCGCCGAATGTCAAGGTTTGACAAACCATGTTGAAATTCAAATTCTAATTTCTAATTTAAAATCCCACAAAAATGAACAAATCAAAGCAGTCAAAGCAAGAAATGAACAACAGGAAGGACAAGGATAATAACCAGAAACCGCAAGCCAAAACCGCCGACGAAAAAAAGACTGAACAAAAAAACAAACTAACCAGATGCACCAAAGACAGACTAGCAATTTTGGCGATTCCTCCTGAATTCTCCGAACCAAAGACAGAGTTTTTCGATTTGTCCAAAGCCCAGTTGAATTCTGAAGATAAATGCATTGTCGAACTGATTTTAAACTACGAAGAACAGCAAGGACTCGATGTGGCAGAAAATTCTCCTCCGGTTCGTAGAAATAAACGGTATTTTAATGTTTATGATGGGAGATTTAAAAAAAATAATTGAAACTGTACATAAGTATTCTAAGTTTTGGTAACTTTGCATCAGGAATTAGTCTTTAACTCATTTTAAGTATTCTTTTATTTTTATATCATAAAAGTATTTGTTGTGTTTCCGAGTATGTAGGTATCATGTCGTACAGTTACTAGGCTCTAGAGGACATAATAAAGCTACCTACATCTTTATTTTATTCTTATGCACTCAAATTTGAATCTTGTTAAAGTTTTATTCAAATGATATTGTAAAACTAATATACTTTTTCTTCTCAATAGGAAGTCATCCCCGGGTTAAGCATAACTCCAGGCTCCAGGGTAAACATTGCAACTGGACACGTTTACCCTGAAGTCAGGAGTTCAAACCAACCTAGAGGTAACTTGCTATTGAGAAACCGACCCTAGAAAAAGGAAAAAATATGTACCTATATTACCGGTAATTTTACCTTCGCAACTCTAGGGCCCAGTTTCACAATCGGTGGTAACCTGTGCTGGTCAGTCAACTAACCACATAACAGTGAAAGAACATTCATATTCTCAGAATATTCCCTCAAAGTGCTTTTTGGAATGTTCTTTTAGGAATGTTTAATGAATATTCTGAGATTGTTTCGATTGAAATATTCATTTTTGAACGTTCTATTTATGTACTAGGAATGTTGCTTCTATGCACCTACCTGAAAGATTGTGCTAAGAACCTACTTTATATAACTGTCTTTGAATATTGTCATACGAACATTATTATAATGTACCCTAAAAAATGTTCTTTCGGTTAATATCTCTATCAAGTATTAAGAATATACCTACCAAGTTGTGCTGAGAAGTTTATGTAGGTAGGTAACCATGATAAGAATATTTCCATATTATTCACCTAATTATCTGAAGTACTTACTCAAAAATCATAATTTAACAATTAAACAATAATGCTCTATCTAGAACCTACTAAGAATATTATAGGTATATTCTTTTCCTTTTGCTTTGTAGGACTTCCAAGAGAGGGAGCCATGCGCTATTAAAGATCTACATCTTGCCTAGCGTTTGAATTACCTTGGAACCTGTTTCTCTCAGTTGGCGTGCTTACCGCGACGAGAGCATAACAAGCTCGAAACCGGAGCTTTGGTTAAACACTTGTGTTTTCCAGAAAAGTTTTCCAACAACTCTTTCACTGCCTTTAATATAAAAGGACTGAAAGGAGCATTATTTGGAAGCGAAAATTAACATTCCATGTAGATCCTTAGAATCAAACAAGAATGTTATGTCTAGGATGCATATTGAGAATGATATATGTAGATATATTCTAAGAATATTTCAAGCATATTGGTATAATATTCTTTTGAGAACATAACTATAATGTCATAGAAACATTCATTGAATGTGAGAATACCCATACATATCGAGCATATTTTTAGAATCAAACAAGAATATTTTTTTCAGGATGTACTGAGAATCTCATAGGTATATTCTAGGAATATCCTAATGGATTTCTCAGGAAGTTCTTGGGTATTGCAAACAGTATTTCTACAATCTTTTCTCAGAACATTCTCAGGACATTCGCAATGGTTTTGGCGAACATTCAAGGAACATTCCTCCTAAAAAAGAACATTCTTAATACATTCTAAGGATGCAATTTTGTTATGTGGGTAGGGGTCAGGGGTTAATTGGGACTTCGCTCACTAACCTGTTTCACACTAAACAAACAATCGTTGGTTAAATGACTGGTGGTTGAATTTTATTTCTCAAAGGTTGGTAAGTGTAAGTACTTGATTTTTTGACAAAATTTTAAAAACCACCTTGAAAAATAAAAAAAAGGCCCCTCTAAACTTCACTATAACGTCACTTTTTGTGATTTGTCAATAACAATAGCAATAGACCTATCTCGCAAGATTAGAAAAAGAGAGCTTAATAATAATAAATACAGGTAAGAAAGCAATAAAAGATGACATGCGCGCGCAACTCGTAGGCTGCAGTGTAGCCAGATTGTATTGTTGTAGAATAAATGTAGACAATTCAAGTCGAACATTATAACATTAAAGAAGTGATATAGTGTCAAGTGTTTTACAACGCCTTACATCAGACAAAAGAAGAGCTTTAAAGTGGATGAACATCGTTTACACTTTTATTTTGATAAATGTTTCATCGGGCAACATCGCACAATGAATAAATTGCCAAGGAATATGTCATGTATAATCTAACAAAACCTTAAACGACACTGCGGTGAGTTCAAGTAATATGTAAACTATTAGTTTGCTCTTTGTCGAATTAGACGTTACAAAGAAAGAAGGAACGATTCATTCTGAAATGAACCCTGTCACAAACTTGCTTCTCATTGGACGCTCACCAAGCGCTCACCTGCAAGCGACGCGCGCAGTCCAGGTAATAGGAGATCTAATATACAGTGTGCGCCATAAAGTTGGGTACATATGGGAAAAATCTTAATTATTCCTTTTTTCAGAAAACTTTTTTTGGGGATCGTTAGGGCATGTTCGATAACCAAAAAATCGATTATGACACATGTCATGTTATTTTTCTGATGACCAGAAAATGTGCAAAAAGGGACATGGGTACAGTTATAGCGACACGACCGGACGGTATTTTCTAATTTATGCCCTTCAAGTGTGTATTTCGCAAAACAATCGATTCGTTTGATATCAAACTTATGTAGTTTAGTTGAATAAGGCTATTTTTGAAATAAAATTAATATTTTCGATTTTGCATTTAATGGTATGGGTAAAATGAGTAGTTTTATTTTTTTTCTCTGATTTGCTTCAAAATCGGCATGTGAAGTTCTTTTTGGATTCTGAACAACTTTTTCTCATAAATTTTTTTGATATCTTGTCAAATTTGCCCGTTTTTCGACATCAATATAAACTTTTTTCAAAATTCCCGCTTAACCGATATGCGCATGACATGTGTCGTAATCGATTTTTTGGTTATCGAACATGCCTAAACACAGCCTCCTACAGTTAACAAGCCATGAAGTTAAAAAGGCAACACCGCAATCTTACCGCCAAGTGGTGCTGGTGCTGTTTGTTTTTATAAGTATATATTTTTTATTTTGTTAATATGAATGCCAAAAAATGCATCATTTATTGTACTAAAGGGTCAAAAACAGTAATTCAATGAATAATATAACTATTTGTGTAAATAAGAACAGTAAATAATTGATTTAAATGAATATATTACTAGATTCTATAGTGTTATGTAAGAGAAATATAACTTCCATACTTGGATAATTTTCGACAGTTTCAGTACCTATTGTTTGCCCAGTGGATCTGAGTCTACGGAAAGAATTCTGACGTAAATGTGCCATGTTGCCACGTTTAATTATAAAAAAAGCGAAATTACTAGGCATGAAGTATGTTTAATTTGAAAATCCATTTTTTAATAACAAAATATTGATAACAATAATAAAACGCTAAATATTTTAACGTGGTTGTTAGATCTATCCTTATTTTAATCCTGATTTCTTCAGTTTGGTCTATTGTAAAAAATAAACATTTTCTAAAGATACCATCAGCTTTTGACAATTTGGCAATCATCCGTCCTGGATGAACCTGATTGGTGGAGTTTTTGGCAGGATCGCCGTTGTCATGAGGAACCATACGGTTGTCAATAAACTAACGTCACCTTACGTCTCGCTATTGGCCAGGGTTCACGTCATTTTATCCTCCCATCTTGGAATATCGATTTATATTGAAATATTCAGTGGCGGAAATTTGGTCATTGCTGATTTTCGTCTACGAGTTGCAATACGATAACACTTCCAAAAAGTTCCGTACGCAGCTGGGTATTTTATGAATGAAATCAGCCATTTTTTTTTACAACTGCATTCCCCTTACCGTTGCCCCGTAGACACAGACTCGCTGGGCAGACATTATGTCTTTTGAAAATCTAACTTTTTCTTTCTTCGGGATTTTTTCGGAAGGCAGGTCTATTCAAATACTTGAGCTGATTTTCGAAAATATAATAGTCCAGGAGGTGGCGCCAAAAACATGCAAGAGTTTTCGCAAGGCGGATATTTTCAAAATAAGTCGCACTTTAGTGCTAGAATGCTAGTGTACAGTCAGCACTCACAGTTCCGGGACAGCTGGCTCTGGGACGCGGGCAAAGTTGTAATTTTAAGAACCATCTAAACTGTTTTCTCAAAGCTCAAAATTTATAGAAATTTTGCACATTATCTGTTTAAAGGTCATAGATAACGTATGTAAATCGTCAGACGTCTAGTTCGTTGCAAAAAGGGGGTCAGACGTCCTCAAAGTTTTTATTTTATGGCATTTTCTTCGGTGTCCTGTCAAAATATATTTTTGCAGGTATTTGACAAATATATTTGAAGAAAATGCCATAAAATAAAAACTTTGAGGACGTCTGGCCCCCTTTTTGCAACGAACTAGACGTCTGACGATTTACATACGTTATCTGTGACCTTTAAACAGATAATGTGCAAAATTTCTATAAATTTTGAGCTTTGAGAAAACAGTTTAGATGCTTCTTAAAATTACAACTTTGCCCGCGTCCCAGAGCCAGCTGTCCCGGAACTGTGAGTGCTGACTGTACACTAGCATTCTAGCACTAAAGTACGACCTATTTTGAAAATATCCGCCTTGCGAAAACTCTTGCATGTTTTTGACGCCAGCTCCCCAACCTTTCAAATCTAATTTTTTCGGTTTCTTCAAAATGTTTACAACACCTATCTTCAACTGTTTCGGAAATACTGAAAGTTGAAAATTGACTTTTTTGCAACTTTGACAGAATGTAAAACCTGAAAGGGTAATTTTGGAGGAAAACCGATTTTACATTCCTATCTTAGATTTTAATAAACTATCATTTGACACCAATTTTGAATTAAACCGGAGATTAAATTTAACCGGAATTTTTAATCATGGATTAACTTCAAAGTTGGTGTGAAATGATATTTTATGAAAAACTAAGACAAAAATGTATTATCGATTTTGTTGTAAAATCAACCGTTCAGGTTTTACAGTCTGTCAAAGATGCGAAAAAGTCAATTTTCAACTGTCAATATTTCCGAAACAGTTGAAGATAGGTATATGACATTGTACATGAAATATGTCTAGAATTTTCTATGTATGTGGATTCTGATACATTTGAAATCTTATTGGACATGGTCTCACCTATGTTTTCTAATGGCCATTTCCACCAACTATTTTAGGGGAGCCTCAACGATAAGTATGCCCTAAACTGACATTTCTCCATTGAAAACTGTCATTTTAAAAAATACCTAACGTTAAGGGTCCCCTAAAATAGTTGGTGGAAACGGCCATAAGCAAAACAAATAAATGAGAGAAAATATAAGTACCGAAGAGAGACTAACAGTTACATTGCGCTATTTAGCTGCAGGTCGCTCTTATCATACCAGAAACAGGCATAGCCATTTATCAGGTTCTTAAGGAAATTACCTCAAAGTAAGTACCGATTTCGGACACTCTAATAATACGCGAAAGCACGAACGAAATTTTTTGACACTTTTTACCGAGAGCGCACAAGCAACGGTCAAGTATGCAAGAATGAATTCGCTGTTTTCGCGCATGCCAATTGTGCATTTAGATCAGTGGTTCCCAACCTTTTTTTAGTCACGACCATTTTACAGATTTGTTCATAAGGTCTCGCGACTCGCGACCCTCCTACCCATTAATAAATAAAAAACAAAATTTCATTTATTCGAGAAATCTAAATACAAAAATTGAATTTTTATTTTGTTAATGTTATGACCTCAGATTAACAACTAAAAACAACAGATACAACAGTAAACAAACAATTCGCAATCCAACATCCATAAGGTCGATTTTCGCATGAAAAGCCTGGTTGCCAATAATCCGATGTGATTTTCAATATTAAATCTTTTCAAGGATAATCATTATGTCAAAATATGTTTTAACATAATGTAAATATTTTTTTATATCAATCTTTGTTGAAATATAACTAAAACGCATTTTTGAAAAAAATAATTAGTCTTTTTTTAATTTAATTGGTGAAAATTCTGGAATAACTCGGAATATATGGCTCGAAAAACGGCACATCGACAACGTTGCATCTACGAGCAGCCAATCAGATGATTTTTTGTGACTTATGGCAGCCATAACGGATTTGGCAGTGTTGCTGAGAAGTGATAGAGCGAATTTTGTGATTTTGAGTGTTAATCAGTGGTATTTTTGGATTTAAAACTGTGGAAAGTGTGGCGGAGAATAGTAAAATGGTACATCGATGTATTATCTTTAATGATTCCAAGCAAATTTTAATATTTCGGCGGTAAGAAATTTGACATCATTTTACGCTCGACATTGGCGTAGATAGAGAATATTTATGGTAATTTATTATGAGTGGAAAAATTGAGAGGAAACTGAACAGGCCGCCACTGAAGAGTGTTGCCATTTTATAGGTCTATCTCTCTCTTACTAATGTCATGGACTAAAAGATGATTGATTGTAAACATTGGGCGATTTTTAAATGGCATGTTTGGTCTCTAGTTTTATTATTAGTCTGAGGTTATGACTGAGCTTGCATTCCCGTAACAAGTCTCGAAATTCTTGATTGAGTTTTTGTTAAAGCCAATCTTATCATCTTAAACAACCAGTCTATTTCTGGCCTTTGTTCTAATTCACAAAAGGGCAGCGTTGCCAGACGTACGACAGGTGTAGTATTTGTACGACAGTTCGGGGCATGTTCGTTACAAGAAAATCAATGCGTACGGTAGTACGGTAATGTACCACAGTTTTGAAATCTTGGGTTGAGTGGGTAATATTTTATGGTAATATGTACCTTTCTAAATTCTCCTTTTTTCTTATGAGTGCTGGCCAAATTGGGAAAAAAAATTTATAACAGAGTTGCTTGAATACAGTCTATAGGCAATTTTTCGCGAGAATAATCAAGCATAATCGATTATGTTGGATTAGGTGATGTCGATTGTGTCATACTCCCCTTACTCCGTCGGGGACCAAGAATACCTAATTTCTACTGTAAGAACAGAGAACAGACCAAAAAAATTAACTCCTAGCACATCCTGAATCGCGACCATTCCATCGAGGTCTGCGGGTGACGTCATCATTATAATCTGTTGATAGTGACGTCACTCACAGGCCCAAAATCTGATTGTGAGGGAGTTAGAGGGGAGTATGACACAATTGACACATCAAATAACCCAGCATAATCAGATTATGCTTAATTATCCTTGCGAAAAATTGCCTTATAAGCTTGAGAAAGTAGAGCATTTATCAATGTTCGAGGATTATTCCGATAGAAATTTTTTTTGACAGGAATTTTCATATTAAGTTAGCAATTATTGTCAACGTTACAAAAGAATTTATTTCCCATTTGACTTATTGTCCACAAAGTACTTTAATCGAGATGACTTTAGTAAATTTAATAAATAGTTTTATTTGATTTCCGGACACTCCTGTTGCTGTGATTTTTAATGCAAGGTCTATTTTCAAATTTTCAACATTTTGCGCTCTCAAAAAAATCATATTTTTCAATTAAATATGTACCATCGTCACCAAAAGTAACTGGGACAGCATCACATTAGCTCTTGTCCTATTATATGAATTTTATTGTAAAATATTTGTCAAACTGTGAATTAAATGCATTGAAATGAATGACAGTAGAATTAGTCCAGGAGATAATTATGTATTATTTGTGTGTCCCAGATACTTTTGGCGACGATGGTACCTACTAAAAATGTAAAGTAATGTGTACCACAAGTATTTGTGGCGCGTACGTCCCTGTATGACAGTTTTTGAGCATTGTGTACCACACTTCCATATTTAGAGTCTGGCAACGCTGCAAAAGGGTTGAAAACCCCACTTTCACGAAGGTAGGTAGAGGCAAATGGTATTGGTATTAGTATCCGAAAAGAAAGCTCAAGGAGGACGACATAAGGATATGAACTATGCATGGCACAGTAAAATTAAGTCAAGAATTTCTGCTGAAATAGGGCCGGTGCTGTGGGATCATTTCTCAGCTCTAAAAATTGATCCTGTACTTCATCAGGAACGTCGGCAACGCCCAGCTCTCAAGCAACGCCACGCGGCTTTTGAGGCGAAGGCCAAGGCGTGTTGCCAAATGCAGAAAAATATACACGGTAGTCCATTTAACTTGCGATAATCTATCTCGAAATCGACGCGTTTTTGAAAAAAAAAAAACAAATAGAAGCTATGGTGTCACGGAGAAAAGAAAATGATAGCAATGATTTTTGACTCTTTCAACTTTTATTTGAACTCTTTTTTTTAAACGCGCCGTTTTCGACATATTAGACTGTCTCATGCTAAATGGACCACCCTGTATATTAATATTGGCATTGCGACCCCTCCAAAAACCCTATGCGACTCCCGACTCCCTTAGGGGTCGCGACCCACCGGTTGGGAACCGCTGATTTAGATTGACGTTCTTTCGCGCACGATTGGAAACGTTACGTTCTCAAACTGCGGGAAAGAGCGCGAGTGTAAAGGTACCTATTCGGTCCACACCTGCCGGAAGAAGCCACCCGGCTCTGCTGATCGCCAAACCCGACTTCGGTGTGGATGCGGCTTAGGACGGGTATTATAAAACTGCTTTGACAGTTATCTTAAAGTTAACTTTTTGAATTAATGTAATTCCAGAAGTTAACTTTAAGTTAACTCTCAAAGCAGTTTTATAATACCCGCCCTTAACAACACAAATCGACCAATAACCCTTTTCACGTGGCTCCGGTTTAACAAACCGCAACATATTGCTCAAATTCGAGTGGTATAGGTATCCATCACGTCACTTTGTAACCGGGTTAGAAAACGGTATGTCATTTCTCTAACCGGTTTGTAACCCGGTTAGTTAAACCTTATATGAGCTGGGTTCGGCCATTCAGCGCGGAGTTGAAGTGGAGTGAACAGAGCTAATGGAGTCACCCCTAATACGGTAAAAAGCAGCACCCGAACCGCTGGAGTGCGAATGGAGTCACTCGGAGTGAGCAAGCCGAACCCACCTATGGTTAAACCGGAGCCACGTGAAAAGAACTAATGGAAACTGGAAACCGTTTTTAACGGCTATAAATGTCAAATTGACATAGCATGACGTCCATTCTCTTTCAGTTATTTGTTATTTGTAATTTTAATTTGAATTTCTATGAAGGGTTTGAGTTTAACATCATCAACGACTAACGTTTTTTTTTTGTATAATGATTAATAATTATAAGTACACCAGTTAAAAAGATTAGTTAAATTTATAGATTTAGGTATAATAGTGTCTGGTAAAATGGAAAATACTAAATGGGAAGCCGTTTTGGTTGCCTGGGTAAGTTAAAAGGTAGTTTTTGTCTATTGTGTTCCTGTACCTCATGAAGCAAAGTCAATCCATTACCTTCATGATATTTTCTTAGGCATACACTCTCTCATCAATTCTATTTATAGGTAAACTGCCTTGAGTTGAGCAAATCTATACAAAAGCTGCAGGATCTTAAGGATGGAGTTTTTCTAAGAGACTTCCGTAAGCTAATGTAAGTCACTATTAACAGTTTTTCGAACACAATTTATTTACATATTGTTTTATTTGTATAGCAAAAAATCTGCTGATCCTCTTCCTGGCGATGATTTAACAGTAATTTTCGATATTCTTATCACAAACTACCCCAAATTCAAATTCCCAGAAGAAAAAGACAGTATTCATATAAGTGACTTGCCTTATTCAGACCTAATAAACTTGACATCATTATTAATGCATTATGCATCTGTTTTCGATAGGAGGAATGTCTTGACTTCTCCAATGTGTTACAATTTGAAATCCTCGACTCAAATGTATATAAAACATTTTTTGGAGTTGGTTAACCATGATATTACTTCAAACGAATTAGAAAATATTATCAAAACGATTGTATCAGACGACACTATTCATACCCCTCTGAAGAAAAAGAGTCCTTTAAATGACTTTTTAAAAACTCCAGCTTCTAAACATATAAAATTACAAGAAATTGACAAGTTGAAGCAAGAATTAGAAATTGAAAAAGAAGAGAAAATCGACTTGGAATTGGAACTAAAAGAATTACAAGAAAAATTTAAAAAAGCAAATATACAATTGAATCAAAAAAACTCCGAAATTAAACGTTTAAGAAACGAAGTTGACTTATTGGAAATGAGAACCCCACCACATTTTCAAGATGTTGATTCAAGGGAAACTCAAAAACTGTTAAAATTAGAAATAGAAAATTTAGAACAGTATGTGGCACAATGTGAAAAAGAGCATGAGGAATTGAAAATGGACATAAATAATGAGAAAAGCAAGTCAAAGACTTTGCAAATAGACTGTAGAATATGGCAAGAAAGATTTTTTGAAATTGATGAGAAATATAAATTTTTTTCTGAACACTCAAAAGAATTGGAATCTAGAAACGAGTCATTACAAGCCCATTGTGTGGAAATAGAAGCTCTATTGAACGAATTTAGATGCAAGTCTACTAACTTGGACGATAGCAATCTTGGTTTGGTGAATAGAAGATCGAAAGGATACGATATTGTGGAAGATTTGGCACATTCAGTTGTAGATGTTCAATTGAAGGAGGTGCAGCAAAAATTGGATGACGCTTTGATGGATTTGGACAATGTTTTGGATGAGAAGAGGATGCTGGAAAAGGAATTAGCAGGTAAGAATAATATTTTTATACAATAATTTAATTATACAGGGTGATTTATGTAGCCCGTGCATTAGCTTGCAGGGGGAATAAATGCTATCTCTACTAAGTAATCCACTTGCAAAAAAATGGATGAAAAGGAATTTTATCCTGGAAAACTTGCATGTGCCCGTGTAGTATCTACGTCCCTACTTCTTAAGTCTCAAGGGTTCTTATTCTAGTAGTTTAGTGTTTGCTTTAAACTTTTCAATCTGAGGAACATTTACATCATGCAACTTACAATTTATTTGAATTTGCATAGATACCTACTTGAGAATTGATTAACTTATCTGTAAATCTTCTATTATAGTATTGGTATTGTTTGAAATGGAACTATGTATTTCATTTTTTTCAGATTCTGAAGACATTAATTTATGTAAATGTAAATATAATACATCTTATAAGTGGGTATAATTATGCTCAAAAATCCTGTTTCCTGAAATTTGGCTACAATTTTATATGATTCTCTATGTATTGTCACAACTTTTGGGTGCGTGACGCGTGACACAAATCTTGGGTTTGTTTATTCCAAAATCAAAGTCCAATTAACACAACAATAATTTAGTTTACGTTACTACACACTCTGATACTAATTACTTCACTAATTACGTCAAACAACTTAAATCTGACACCACAGTATTTTATATTGCAAGTACCTACTTGATTCTTAAAAATTTATTTTCTGGATTTACCATTGAAACCTATTTCCTAGAAGATCCAAGGATTTTAACAAGACTTATGTTCATATACCTCCTTTAAATTATTGTTGCAATTGCATCACAAACACTAATCAACTTTTGTAGGTTGTCTTTTAGGTTGTAATGCTAGTGGACTCACTGGATCGATTTGGAAATTTGTTGTCGCTCTGACTGGTTTGTGATTTCTGCAGAAACAGACCCAATAAATCCAAGAAATTTGCCTTAGCTGGTTTTTTGAGGGTTTCTCTTGATATATTTGGGTGATTGGTACTGGAAACAATCCAGTATTTTTGTTCTCTTTGATGTTCAATTTTTTACTATTGAATACGTCCTTTGCATTTTGATACCTACAGATAATTACACCTTTCTGGTAATTTCCTTTGAACTTTGCAGACTACTAACAGATTCGTTTGATCAGCAAAAGTAGCAATTTCAAGCATACTCGCATCTTTCAATTCTTTGGAATGGGTACCAGTGAGAAAACTTAGGTTTCACACATTTAATCCCTGGAAAATACATATTAACCGCATTCCAACCAATATCATAGACAACATCCAAAGCCAAATTAACACTATCTGCACTGAGCAGACTATCCTAATCAAAAGAGCTTGAATAGCTATCAGTACCTTCCTAATTAGAACTGTTAAAAGACAATCAAAATATTCAACATTTTAATCAAAAATATTAGAAGATGACAACCATGATACATTGATTGTAACAACCAGGGCAGGGTGGTATGCATTACAGGATGACAAAAAGGCTCACGTATAGTATTATTTAGTGAATTACAAAACACAAGATAATAATAATAATATAAATTTATTATTTTTCTCAATCACAATTATAATGTACAGCTGAAATAGATATTTAAAATTATTGCATGAAGAAAATAAAAGGCCATGTCATTGCAGACATCTGGTATGAGACCAGATACTGTTTAGGCCTACCATAACTTAAAAAAATAATTCAAAATATGCGCCTATCCGATATTGACTTACCTTGCCCAGCAAGCATTTGGAAACAGAATAAAAAATGATTAAATGATAACTATTCTCTCAGCAATCCTAATGGAAGAGGGGAAGAAAGGAGAAGAGAAAACAAGAGAAAGACAAGACAGAAGAAAGAAAAAGAGAGGAAAAATAGAGCATTTATTGGAATTTCATACTTCACACTATTGACTATCAAACAGTATCTTCTTAATCTTATTTTTAAACACTGCACCAGACTGCACAAAAGACACAACATTAAGCTTATTAAGACAGGAGGCAACATTGTATGAAAAAGATCTTTTAAAAAGTTCTTTTCTGTGTCTTGGTACAGTTAAAAAGCCTCTAAGGCGGAGATTCAACTGATTTACATTCGCCCTAAATTTAATTTTATTAAATAAATAGAGTGGGGTTTGATTTTTAATAATTTTGTAACAAAAACATGCAAAATGTAATTTTCGGCGATTGAACATATTTAGCCAACCCGCTTCCCCTTGCTTATGCGAGATTCGCTCTCCTCTACGTATACCAAAAATCAATCGCAGACAGGAGTTCTGGACTTTTTGAATTCTTCTGGTTGTGCGTTGATCAATACACGATCCGTAAACTGTATCGCAGTGGTTAAAGTGCGAGAGTACTAACGAATCACACAATTCCCTCTTTACATCTTGAGTCAAAAAATGTCTTTGATTAAACAACAATTTCAATGCACCATATGCTTTCCTCAATTTACTCATCACATGCTCATGAAAGCGGAGATCAGAATCCACAATAAGCCCTAATGATTTCGAAGACTTACTACTTATTTCTAGGCGTACGTCATTAATCCTAATAATGAGGTCAGATTCTGCTATGGCTCTATAAGCTTCACTACCAAACACAGTGACAGACGACTTGGAGGGATTGATTTTTAATTGATGATCCTTTGACAAGGTAATTAGATTTTCAAGGTCAGAATTTATCGAAATATTTGAAGTCTCCAAATCGTCTATTCTAAACGAGCTATAGAGCTGCGTATCATCAGCGTAAAAATGATAATTACAGAACCCTAGACATTCGCCAAATCTACCTGTATATATTGTGAACAGTAGCGGACCAAGGATGCTTCCTTGTGGTACGCCAACTCCCACATTTTCAATATTTGAGAAGGAGTTATCAAGAACCACCTGTTGTCTACGTTCACTTAGAAATGATCTATAGAATTTTATTGTGGCCTCAGCAAATCCTATATATTGCAAAATAGAAAGAATTATTTCGTGGTTAATTAAACGCTGTGTCTAGAATCCCGGTACCGGTAACGACTTCATTTTTTACCAGTAGTTTTGATGCCGTTACCCATATGACGCACTAGGTACCCGGGATTTAAGGAAATCCCGGTAGAAAATGTAGTCGTTGGCGGTTTCTGTTTTATCAAAGTCCAACTTAATCTAACTTTTTATGTTTTTAACTTGTTTTGTTGATGTGTGAACGTAAAGTGGAGTGTTTTGATGAGTTTATCAACGTGAAATTACTTTTTAAATGGTTTTTAATGTAGGAGGACAAACATTTAAAAGTTATAAAGAAGTTGGAGATACTTTGACATGTGAAATATGACGTATATAAAGTTAGCAGTGCAAAGTCAGCAGTGCAAAATTTTTATGACTGGAAAAATTAGTGCTAATTAAGTGCTAATTAAATGCCAAGTTCACAAATTTTGTGCTCTTGTAGTTTCCGAGATATGGCCTGCACTGCTAGCTACCCGTTAAAGATAGCAGTGCACCATCCAGGAATAATCCAGGAAAGTGGTAGGGTGATATAAATGATGAAGAAAATTAAATGCTAATTAAATGCTATCATTTCCATGAACAAAATCTCTATTTTCAGCTTTTTTTAGAATATTTTATAAAAGCAACGCTGTGCACTGCTAGCTTTATGCAGTACACATATTGAGTTTTCATGAAAGGAGGGATTGGTAGAGTTTTCGACATAGGAATAATTTAGTGCTAATTAAATGCCAAGTTCACAAATTTTGTGCTCTTGTAGTTTCCGAGATATCGCCTGCACTGCTAGCTACCCGTGAAAGATAGCAGTGCATCATCCAGGAATAATCCAGGAAAGTGGTAGGGTGATATAAATGATGAAGAAAATTGAATGCTAATTAAATGCTACCATAATCATGAACAAAATTTCTATTTTCAGCTTTTTTTCGCATATTTTCTCAAAAACAACGTGGTGCACTGCTAGCTTTATGCAGTACACATATTGAGTTTTCATGAAAGAAGGGATTGGAAGAGGTTTCGACATAGGAATAATTTAGTACTAATTAAGTGCTAAATAAATGCCAAGTTACCAAATTTTGTGCTCTTGTAGTTTCCGAGAAAAAATTAAATGCTATTTGAATGCTACCATTTCCATTAACAAAATCTCTATTTTCAGCTTTTTTTCGCACATTTTTTTAAAACAACGCGGTGCACTGCTAGCTTTATGCAGTACATATATTGAGTTTTCATGAAAGAAAGGGTTGGTGGAGTTTTCCACTTTAGAATAATTTAGTGCTAATTAAGTGCTTATTAAATTCCAAGTTACCAAATTTTGTGCTCTTATAGCTTCCGAGATATGGCCTGCACTGCTAGCTACCCGTTAAAGATAGCAGTGCACCATCCAGGAATGATCAAGAAAAGTGCTAGGGTGATATAAATTATGAAGAAAATTAGATGCTAATTAAATTCATTTCCATGAACAAAATCTCTATTTTCAGCTTTTTTTCGAATATTTTTTAAAAACAACGCCGTGAAATGCTAGATTTATGCAGTACACATATTGTGTTTTCATGAAAGAAGGGATTGGTAGAGTTTTCGACATAGGAATAATTTAGTGCTAATTAAGTGCTAATTAAATGCCAAGTTCACAAATTTTGTGCTCTTGTAGTTTCCGAGATATGGCCTACACTGCTAGCTACCCGTTTAAGATAGCAGCGCACCATCCAGGAATGATCCAGGAAAGTGGTAGGGTGATATAAATGATGAAGAGAATTAAATGCTACCATTTCCATGAGAAAAATTTCTATTTTCAGATTTTTTCGCATATTTTTCTAAAAACAATGTGGTGCACTGCTATCTTTAACGGGTATAGCAGTGTAGGCGATATCTCGGAAACTACAAGAGCACAACATTTGGTAACTTGGCATTTAGTTAGCACTTAATTAGCACTAAATTATTCCTATGTCGAAAACTCTTCCAATCCCTTCTTTCATGAGAACTCAATATGTGTACTGCATAAAGCTAGCAGTGCACCGCGTTGTTTTCAAAAA